GACAAAAAGCTTTGCTTTATTAGTATTGTTAAAGGCACATTGAACTTTTTGTTGTTGTTGCTTTGAGAACAAAGAGCAAGATTTTCAGACGTTTATCAGTCCAAGTAATTGACCCATGCCAATTTATACCTGTTAAAGAGCTGGTCCAAAAGTGTTTTGTGATTGTGCTGTATTCATCTGACCTGCCAGATATATGGATTTTAAAAAAGAAAGATTTGTAGCCAGCCACTTTGCATTAGAAGAAGCATCACTGTTGCAAGAGGCATCATTTCTGAGTTTTATTTTAAGCAGGTTTTAAACAGAAAGGTCTCCGAAGTCCACAATGGTCTTAGAAAGTATCAGAGGGGTAGCTGTGTTACTCTGAATCTGCATAAACAATGGATGTGGGTCTTTGCCCACAAAAGCTTATGCTTCAATAAATCTGTTAGTTTACTCATAGACTCATAGACTTTAAGGTCAGAAGGGACCATTATGATCATCTAGTCTGACCCCCTGCACAGTGCAGGCCGCAGAATCTCACCCACCCCTCCTAGAATAATCTTCTCACCTATGTCTCAGATATTGAAGCCTTCAATAGTTTAGAAGGCGCCATAGGACTTCTCATTGTTAATGGTCTTGGAAGTTACTGACAATGATAAAACCCCTTCCCGCTTTCATCTGGCAGCATGGGTTGGATGGCACAGGTTCTTTGCTGGGGGGGGGATGATGTGTGAGTTGCTTGGGTGTCATTCTGGACTGCCGAGGAGAGAAATGTTAAGGTGTCATCCAGTGTCTGTTGGAAATGGATGGTAAGATTTTTGTCCATTTTAAGTGGTGCTGGAGCTGGCCCATTGCTAATTCTGTCAATGTGTGAGTGAGAGCATGATCCATCCCCCTCTCCCCCCTGCAGTAATGGTTCACAAAGCCTGATAGGCAAAAGTGAAAATAAGCTGGCATGCCCAAGAGACTGGCCGGCTGGGGGCGGGGCTCTGGACACTGCTGGCATGCTGGGCGGTGTGGCCACAGCACACCCAGGCTCCAGCCCTGGTGCTCAGGTGTCCGGGCAGTGAGGTGGCTACACTGCCAGCTCTGAGCTTCTTCCCCCAGCCCTGAGACTCTGCCACCTCACAACCTTCTGCCCTGTCTCCTGCATCCTCCCACATCCCCAACCCTGTCTTGTGCCCCTGCCTTGAACTCCTTGCACTCTATCTTACACTTACATTTCTTACAGGTACCGTCCTATCGTACTCCCAGCTCCTCCCAACCCTTGCCCCCCTCCCAGGGGGTTACATTAGGGCAGTACCTGTAAGAAATATAAGTTACTTTCACCTGCTGATAGGAATGACATGTAAAATCATACTTTTTTTTTTTTTAATGAAGTTGGGAGATCTGACTCTGACTACACACTGGGGGGCAAAGGGGAAGAACTGCTGAGTAACAAGGTCCAAGAATGCGCTTGAAAGAGAATCCTCTGAACTGTCATTCATGCCTAAATTCGACACTTTACACCTGAGTTTGAATAAAGAATCTAATTACCTTACCCATTACAAAGATAGCTTCCCCAATTATCACCTCTAATATCATTAGCTCACAGACATTTACCTTCCCCCCCATCCTCCTTCTGTTCTGAAATTTGATTTGTCCTTTTCATATGTGTTCATTTTTTTAAAATTGTATCCTTTGGTATATATGGCTGTGACCGTTTTCTTCCACTATTTGATCTGAGGAAGTGGGTCTGGCCCACGAAAGCTCATCACCTAATAAACCATCTTGTTAGTCTTTAAAGTGCTACACAGTCCTGTTTTTTGATTCAGCTACACCAGACGAACATGGCTACATTTCTATCATTGTCATGTAGTCACTTTTAAAGATTAGAACTATGTTACAGCTGGTGCTTACGACCTACTGCTTGGGGGTAGATTTTATTCCCTGAGTTGCAGTCAAGATCATTTTGATTATAGCTGATTTTGATGGGCTGGGGATTTTTGACCAGTAATGTGGATGATCACGTTGTTTGTGGTGCTATGAAATTACAAGGGGAAAAAAATTTCAGAGCTGTGGCTTACACGCTGCCCAATGTATTTTTTTGTGTTGTGATTTTATCGCCAGAAAGTAAGAAGTCTATAAACTGTTGAGTCTTGGTAAATGCGAAGTTATCATGAAAATGTAGGAAGAAGGCCCTTTTCCTTTCCATCTATAAATGTACTGTGGGTTTGTTGAGTGTCCAACAGCAGCCTGGTGATAATGTTACTTTTCTAACATGATGCAAAACATGTTCACCTTTTGATTATGCAGCATTAACAACACTTACAATTTTTATTGCCAGTCATGTTTGGTACTTTTTCTCAGTTACTGGAATCAAGAGACTACATGTGACTCTCAGATCTCATTTTTAAATTCAACCTTCTTAGATACAGAGATAGTTAAATAATATAAAGCAAATACAGGCTAAGGCTTAGTAATCAGAAGGCAAATGGAAAGAACCCCTAAAATATATTTTGTAAAAACAAACAAACAAAAAGTCTTGATTTGTACCTTAGGGTTTTGTGGATGTCTGCAAAAGGTCATATTGATTTATCTTAAAGACAAGATGAGAACAAGCCATCATGTCTAGAACTGGACTGAGGTCAGATTTCAAACTTTCTCAGTGTTTGTGGTAGTTTTATATTTCTGTTTCCAGTTAATTTTTTTACAGCCATGAGTCCTGGCTTTCAGTGTTCTGTACTGTTATATAGCTCTAATTTACCCCTAAATGTCTAATAAGAGCTCATGAGCTTTCGTGGGTACAACCCACCTCTTCAGATGAATGGAGTATTAAAAGTCCAGTTCTAAAATAAATAAGGGGATGGGGGAAGCAAGGAGGGGAAATAGTGAATTAGAGTGTTCATGTTACACGAAGCTGATAGAGAAGGTGAACATTGTTCTTAAGTGCCCATTGTTTGTTTGGTTAGGATGTGGAAGGTAGTGTGCTAGCCAGGTAATTTCTTTATTCTTACCTTTGTGATGGATCCCAAACTTGTACATGAAGTTAAGTTTCAATGCTTCCCGGTGTATTTGGCTTGTGGAATTGGCCTGAGACAACACAGTGACTTGGAGATCCATTAATGAGTGCTCAGGCAGGTTAAAGTGTTCTCCAAGTTTCTGTGTGTTGCCTTTTCAGATACCTGATTTGTGTCCATTAATTCTTTTCCGTAGAGACTGTCCAGTTGGGCCAATATACATGGCAGTGGGGCATTGTTGGCATTTGATGGCATAGACCACATTAGTGGACGTGCATTTAAATGAACCTCTGATGTTCTGCCCAACTACCTCCACGAATATGATTCAGTTCTGTGGAGATCTCGAGGTCTACTTTCGCCACCTCCACCTAAAGGAATATTTCCAATACACCAATGTACAACACACTGATCGTGCAGCTCCCCCTGCCAATCCCACAACAGGAAGGCTTCTATGTGGACCTCACTAACAGTCGTAACGAGAGTCTTGACTTCTATATTGATTGCTTCCACAAACGTGCATGGGCTGACATTGTCAGCAAACAACAACATATAACACATAACCTCAGTCATGCAGAACACAGTGCTATACACAGCCTCAAAAACAATTCTAATGTTATAATCAGAGACTGACAAAGGGGGTGTGGCAGTCATCATGAGCAGAACAGATTATGAACAGGAGGTGACCAGACAGCTCACCAATACCAGATTCTATAAGCTTCTCTCCTCTGATTCCACTGACTAAAGAATACCAAAAAAAACCTCAAACAAAAACTAAATCACCTGCTAATGAAGCTCCCTAATACTGCTCAGGACCAAATTTACACAAATACCCCCCCATCCCTGACCAGGAGCTTTATATCTGTTTCCCAAGATACACAAATCTGGAAATCACGGACAACCCATCATCTCAAGCATTGGCACACTTACAACAGGATTATCTGGCTATATTGACTCTCTCCTCAGACCCTTTGTTGCCAGCATACCTAGCTATCTTCAAGACACCACTGACTTCCTGAGGAAACAACAGAACATCAGTAATCTTCCTGAAAACACCATGCTGGCCACCATGGACTTAGAAGGTCTTTACACCAACATTCCACATGAAGATGGATTACAGGCTATCTATCAGGACCACCATCCCTGATGACACCACTGTACACTTGGTTACAGAACTCCGCAGTTTTGTCCTCACTCACAAGTACTTCCGATTCGGAGACAATTTGTATCTTCAAGTCAGCAGCACAGCCATGACCCCCTGCATGGCCCCACAATATGCCAACATCTTTATGGCTGACCTTCAACAACGTTTCCTCAGCTCTCACCCTTCAGCACCCTTACTCTGTGCGATACATTGATGACTTCTTCATCATATGGACCTAGGGGAAAGAAACTCCTGAGAATTGCACAGGGATTTCAACAACTTCCACCCCACCATCAACCTCAGCCCAGATCAGTCCACATGAGAGATCCACTTCCTTGACACTACAGTACAATTACATGACGGACACATTTCCACCACCTTATACTGGATACCTACAGACCGCTACACTTACCTTCATGCCTCTAGTTTCCATCATTGAGAAATGTATCTATCTACTGTTTATAGCCAAGCCCTAAGGGTGTGTCTAGACTACATGGCTCCGTTGACAGAGCCATGTAAAATAGTTTACCCGACATAGTCAATGAAGTGGAGATTTAAATAATCCCCGCTTCATTAAAATAAAAATGGCCGCCGCGCTGTGCTGACAATCAGCTGATCCGGCACAGCGCGGCAGTCTAGACACGGATCGGTCGACAAGGGAAGCCTTTGTCGACCGTTCCCTTATACCTCGTGAAACAAGTTTTACAGGAGTGGTCGACAAAGGCTTCCCCATGTAGTCTAGACACACCCTAAGATACAACCAGATGAGAAACAAACACCTACAGAATCTATATAGTTATGGAGCATTCTTAAAACTGAAATACCCACCCAGAGAAGTGAAAAAACAGAACCAGACGAGTACCCAGACATGAACTACTTCAAGACAGGCCAAGAAGAGAAAACAACAGAATTCTACTTGTCATCACCTACAGTCCACAGCTTAAACCCCTCCAATGTGTTATCAATCTACAACCTATCCTGGAAAATGACCCCTCACTCTTACAGGCCTTAGGGGGGGGAAAGGCCAATCCTCGCCTACAGACAACCTCCTAACTGCAAACAAATTTTTTCCAGTGACCACGCAGCACACCTCCATCATAATCATCCAGGAACCCACCCTTGCAATCAGCCCCAGTGCCAACTTTGTTCATGGTTCTACACAAACGATTTCATCACTGGACCAACCACATCAAAGGCTCATTTAACTGCACATCCACTAATGTGGTTTATGCCATGAAATGCCAGCAGTGCCCCTCTGTCGTGTATATTGGCAAAACTGGACAGTCTCTGCGGGAAAGAATTAATGGACACAAATCAGATATCCGAAAAGGCAACACACAGAAATCTGTTGGAGAACACTTTCATCTGCCCGGGCACTCATTAATGGATCTCCAAGTCACTGTGTTGTCTCAGGCCAATTCCACAAGCCAAATACACAGGGAAACATTGGAACTTAACTTAATGTACAAGTTTGGGACCCATCAGAAAGGTAGGGTTGCCAGGTGTCTGGTATTTTCGCCTCCTGTCTGGTTTAAAAAAAAAAAAAATTCAGGAAAATACTGGACACCTAAAATGTCCAGTATTTTCTGAATTTTTTCCCCCCTGGCCAGAAGGTGAAAATACCGGACACCTGACAACCCTACGACACACTCGACAACTGGGCCCAGCCTCCAGCCTTCCCCCCCCCCGCCTTCCCGGTTCTGCCCGCCCTGGGGCT